GGCCTCGGCCGGAACCAGGGCCTGGCGCGGGCCACGGCGGTGCGAGTCCGGGCTCCGACCCGAGTGGCCCACGGGACGCGCGGCGCCTCTGCGTTTCCGCGGTACCGGTTTACGTCGTTAGTCGTTATTTCTTTGGTGACTGTTTCCCTCCAGCTCTCCTGAGGCACTTCTGATAGCCTCGAGAGGAATCCGGTTTAGGGGTTTCAAACCTGTTCCAGTGTGCCCGGTTTACTGCCATTGCATCTGAGCGCGGCGGCCCCGGTGCCTTTAAGGTGGGAGCTCGGGCTCCGTGCTGGAGGCGGCCAGGTGCTCCGCGGGACTCGGGGAGCGGACCTGGGGATCTGGGCACCTCGTGCCCTGGCTCGCGGCCCCAGGCGCCCTTGTGCTGCTGGGCCGAGTGCCAAAGCTGCGGCCCGCCCGGCTCAGGCTGACACTGAGCTAGCCACCCTGCCTCGAGCCCACCCAGTCCTCCCAGCGGTCACTGGGCAAACCTGGCACATGTCCCTGGGGACCCTGGTCCGCACTGACAGCGCTAGCCCAGGAGCCAGGAAGGGCCGGCAGGGCTTACATCAGAAAGGAAGAGCCCACACCTCCTACCTAATGTGCATTTTCCTATTTGCAAAGTCATTACACGTTCAAGGAAAAAAAGGGGAATGTGAGACATTTAAATGCAAAGGAAGTAACACATACCCTAAAACACAGAAATCACATTTGGCTTTAATGCCAAAAATCCTACCAGCCTACCCACAAAGCACTGCTCACCCACTTCCTGCTGGCATCGGTGCCACCTACCGAGAATTCCTTCCTCTTCATACAGAGAAGCTCAGCCTTCTGAGCCCTCATTCAGTCCCTAGGGGGTCCGACTAAGTGCTGGCTAGTCGGGGATGAGTCTACGGGAACTCCCTGGAACGAGGCCACTAAACCCGCAGCGACCCTGCTAGTTAGTCAGCCCTGAAGGGCTTTACTTCATCCAACCTGACCTTCTGACTCTGGCGTCTACAGAATCCCCTAGCCCATGTCAGGAGCGGGGCGCTTTTTGTCCCTTATATGCTTCAGAGTAAGGAATTGACTGAGTGGTTCGAGTCCTAGACCCAGCAGCTAGAGAAAGCCCCAGACACAAGTGCACACATGGCTCAAATCCCAAGCGGGTGGAGACTGAGGAATGGCCATCCCCTCCCCCAAGGGGTGGATTTCTCACTTTCCCTCTCTCCGGGCTGTGCACCCTATAGCAGAACTAAAATAAATAATAGTTTTTTTAAGAGTCTTTATTCTCTTCTAGGCGTTTAAGAAGAATTGAGATACTAATGCCAATCAACGTACATTGAAGATAAGGTAAGGAATTACAGAGACTAACTTTGGCTTGCGGACGGGTGTAAAAATGGCCAACCACTGTCAGATACCCTGAGAATGAAAGGTTTTACATCCAAAGGATGAAGTGGCCATAGTTCGAGGACCCCCAGGGTGCTGTGATGGGGCCGTGGGTTGGGCCCCGAGAAGCAACGAGAGACAGCAGAAGGCCTGGGCCGAGCCACGGGCAGTCGAAACCTGTTCCTCGGCCGCGTGGCCTCCCTGAGGCTGAGGACAGCCGCCAGGGTCCCGCACTCGTCCTGGCAGTCCCTCCCCTGGCCCAGAGGTCAGGGCGCCCGCACACCTGGGCCGCTGGGTGCATCAGTCACGTCCTACTGGCTGCTGAGGGACAGAGGCAGAAGCAGGACACCGGGGTCTGGGCCATGGTCATGTCAGCTGGAGGATCAGACCTCCGCGCCGTGAACACGGGTGACTGCAAAGGTGAGGCACCGCCGAGCCAGGAGGCCCGAGGTTTACGGGGGGCTTACAGTTTTTGCTGTGACAAAGGACGATGTATTAAGGGGACTTCGGGCTCTTTTGAATACATGTTGGTGTTTATATTTCGAGGGTTCCCTGTCAACTTTACCTTGAGAACGAGCAAGACCCCACCCCAGCCACCCAGCTCTGGGGCGGAGGGGTGAGCCAAGAGGGCCAGGTTTGCTCCGCCAGAGTCCCGCTCCTGCCCCTTGCCCCACTTGTTCCGTCACCCCAGGCCTCCTCCGGGCTGTGCAGCTGCATCTTCTGACTGGACACTTAGAGCCCTGGTTCTTATTTACGTCTTCACTGGCTTCCGTGTGTCCTGCAGGGTTTCCCCTGAAGATCTCCAGTACTGAGAACCATCCTAAAACCCCTAGGCCAGGGCTTGGTGAGTGCGGGGCCAGGAGCGAAGGCGTTTCACATCTGCAAAGGATCGTAAGAGATAACGTGCAAGAGGCCGTGTGTGGCTGACCCACCTGAAAGCTTCTCTACTCCTGCACTGGAAAAGGGTGGCCGGGCTGCACTAGACGGTGCCCCCCGAGAGGGCATGGGCCTCCCACAGTGCAGACTTCTGGGTAGTGGCATGCCCCGTGCTATGCCAGTTTACCTGGGCCTTAACTGACTGAAGTGGGGAGTTAGAATTTTTTAAATTTTGTCTTAAAAGATAAGCCACTCAGGACCAGCAGATAGCTAATGGCTACGTTGCTGGACTCCCTTGTAGCCAGCCACAGTTCAAGTTCTGGACACAGAGGCTTAAAGCTCACATCGGGCATGTGTGCGTGCATGCCCAAGATCCCAAGGGGAGAATGGAGAAGGGATTGCGGCGTGGCCATTCCCCTGGAGGGTGATCTCTCGCTTTCTGTCTTTCTGTGTCTCTCAGGCGAGTAGTGGGCCCTATAGCAAAAAATCTCTCTGAAAAAAACAGAAAACAGAAGATAAGCCACTAGGGTGAAGCTGTGCGAGTTCAGCTTCATAGTGAATGGCCCTTGGAAAAGCAGAGCGCAGCAGAACAGCCAGCCACGGCTTCCCAGGGTGCACGGGCGGTGCCGCCTTCCACCCGTTTGTGTCTCTCTAAGAACTTCTTAAGAGGGCCTCAGTCTTTCTGGAAGCCGGCCCTCTGAGAGGGGTGTGGCCTGCCTCACAGCTGGTTTTTACCCCCCACCCCCATCAGGTTGCTGCTTCCTGCACTGAGGTTTCCCACAGTCACATGACGCCCTCGATCTCTGCGTCAACACAGACCCTCTTGGTTGGCCCCTCCAAAGCAGTGGGTTCTTCCTCTGGGCCCTCAGCACACTTCCTCCGCACTCTTGCTTCTGCCTCACGATGTGAGTGCAGGAGCTCAATGCGTCCCCTACGTACAAAATGCTGGATCCGGGATTCCAATCCTTGGCACTTAGGACGGTCCATGAGAGGCTTATACGTGCGCGTCTTTACCCCCTCCACAAAGGCGCTGGTCTGCTTTACGACAGAGGGCCTGGCATCCTCCCACCCCGTCACGCCGCCCGGCTCTGGTGCTGATGCACAGGGTACCGGCACCGGGTCCAGCCCCTGCAGCAGGCTGTACAGCATGTGGGCTTGGACGGCGTGCTTCGCCCACAGCTGCTGCAGGTGGGTGATGTTGAGCTCCTGAGCCTCGCGGTCGTAGACCCACCTGATGTTTTCAAACGTACAGTCGTACAAGACTAGAGGAAACTCCACAGCCATGCTGAAGAGAGAGAAGAAGACGTAGGGTGTGAGGACACAGGCGCTGCCCAGCATCTAAGCCAGGGTGAGAGGGCCAGTGGGAGGGGCACCCTGCTGAGGACTCTGCATGGAGACCTATGCTCTGTCCCTCCCGCTGAAGCGCTGTTCCAACAACGAAAGCCGGACACCGACCACCAGTGCTGCCGCGGTACCCCAGTGTCCTGGCAGTCTCCTGGAAGGGCTGCGGCTCCACCGCTGCCGGCCACAGAAGGCAGCTGCTCCTGGTACCGTGCTCCTGGCACCTTCGATTTGGTATGAGGCCACGTTTTATAGTCAGGAAAGGATTACTAGCACCTATATGGCCTTGGCCTGTTGTCAGAAGTTATGACTGATCTTTCTGCCATTCCCACCACTTCAGAAGCTGGAAATCAAGGGAAATTTAGTGGTTAAGGCACTAAACTCCACGTGGTCTACCCAGGTTCAAGTACCAGGACCCAGCAACCTGAAACTCAAGCAGGCTGCGTGAGCGTGCATGCCCAAAAATCCCAAGAGGAGAAGGGGCTGTGGCGTAGCCATCCTGCCTGGGTAGTAATTTCACAAGAACCTAACAACAGCTTTACCATAAATTCAGAAACACAGACAGACGTGGGGACAAGGTCCTTCCCACAAGACGGGTACTGGCCACACTCTGCTGGAGGAGCTGGTGGGGGGCGGGGGGGGGCACTCCCTCACTGGGGAGAGATGCCACCGTCTCCATATTCACAGCCTGCTGCAAGTGGGACTGGGACTCAACAGAGGCGGCGCCTGTCGCCTGGTTACTCAGTCGGGCGAGGGGCAAGCTGTGTCCCGAGTTACCTGTACTGAGGCTTCTGGGGATTGCTCTCGATGTCCAGCAGCTCATCGATGACTTCCGGCCTCTCCAGCCCTTGGCCGATCAGAAAGAGGACAGCCATCATACAGCGGACTTGGTGGTACAGGAACGCCTGGCCGGTGACCTGGAACTGGCACAGCTGGAAAGGTGCCTGCTGCGTGTGCTCCCCCGGACTCTGGCCGACCCGCTGTACTTGAGCAGACAGGACGGTCCTCTGAAAGTTAACGACCCCGTTGGCCACGTCCATCTTGCAGAAGTTCCTGAAATCATGTGTGCCAACGTACTTCTGGGCTGCGGAGTTCATGCTTTCGACGTCCAAATCGGCACGAGGGAAGAAGTAGCGGTAGGTCCGCTCCAGGCAGCTGAACCTGGCGCTGAAGCCAGGTTCTACAGGGGCCCAGGCCAGCACGCGGATGTCCGGGGGCAGCACCCTGTTGAGAATGTGGGTGTAGCGGATCTCTTGAGCAGTGTCAGTGCCTTCTACGTGAACGTCCTCTGAACCCCTGCCCCGTGGCAACTGCGAACGAAGGTCCAGAGAGATCACCTGTGGGTTAGAGACCAAGCAACGTCAGCTTTCGCGGGAGCCCAGAGCACCCTGGCCTGGCCTGCTCTCCAGTGGGCTCACGAGCTCTTACCTGTCCGAAGGCGCTAACCCCCCGGTCAGTGCGCCCACACCGGTGGTAGTTGGACGTCTGGCGGCTTTCTACGAGACGGGTCTTGGTGAGCGCCTCAAACAGCTGCTCTTCGACCGTGTTGCTCGTGTTCTCCTGACTAGCGAAGCCCTGGTAGCCCCAGCCCAGGTAGGCTATCCTCAGGGCCACGTGTCTCCGGCCGTGGGCACTGAAGTCAAAGGCGCGCTTCGCTTTCCCCGCTCCTGAAGCGCTTCTGCCGACCGCCGGGTCCTTCTGGTTGCTGGCCCGCTCCTTTCTAAGCCTGCACACCTCCCGCTCCAGTTCTCGTACCCGTTCCAGGAGTTTCTCAGTCTGGCTTCTGTCGCCGTCATTTTCAGCCATGATCTGACCACTCCAGGAACCGGAGTCACGCGGGTCCAGCACCCCTGAAAGACAGCAAAGGGGTACAGGAGGCCCGTGCTGGCCCCTGGGTGACGGCAGTGGCATTACATGCAGTGCTGGGATTTGCCTGGACGCTCCACGAGCACGGACTTGTGCTTTCTCTGCAAACACGGGTTAGTTCAGTGAACACGGACTGACCCATAGGGGAGACTTCTTCCAGGTAGTCAAAATCTGGGGACACTGTAGACTTCTTTATTCTTTGTAACTGATGTGAGTGAGGGCTGACATTATTGGCATCTTTGCCTAAACATTTCCCTTTGACTTCTCATTCTGTTCGTTTACTTTGTAAATCATTAGCCTGCTTTCTGTGGGCTGCTTATGCCTGCTCCGAGTTCCAGCGCTAGTGTTCAGATGAGGCGCTCGTGTGCACTGCCACCTAATACTCAGCTGTCTTTCAGGTGGTGCACCAGAAGGTGGGCTGCCTGAAGACACGAGCCACGATTGCATTCCCACTGGAAGTAGAGCTGGACGCAAGACTTGCCCCTCAGCAGTTGTGATGGCGGAAATAAGGTAGCTAAGTGTATGCGGCACCCCGGCGTAAGCCAGTTACTGCACGGAATGCTATGAGCGTTCTGTACCCGACAGTCACCGACAGCTGGGTGTGGCAGCACTGCTGCAGCACAGCTCTGACACCGGACAGTCCTAGCAGGGGGCTGATGGCCATCTTAGTCACAGGCCGTCCTCCCCGGCTAAGCTGTTTATGTCTAGGTAGCTCACTTAGGTTTTTGCCCTCGAGTTTCTGTAGCTGATTAAAAGTTTAAATACAGGGCTGACCTGTGCCCTAGCGGGTAAGAGAGCTGCAGCTCACGAGCCCACGTGCAGTTTGAATCCTGTCCCTGGTGGCTTGAAAACACCCTGGGCACGACCCCAAATCCTGGCAAGACGGAGAAATGAAGGAGGACACGATCGTGCCCCAGGGAGGGGTGCTTTCTCCCCCTCTGCCTCTCCCTCTCTCTAGCAAGCGCACACGCCCTTTAGCAATGGGAAAAAAAATGTAAAAAACAAAACTGTAAAAGCACTGGAAGAAAACACAATACCTTTATCATTTTTCTTTTCTTTCTTTCTTTTTTTTTTTTTTTTTTTTGAGAGGTTTTTGCTATAGGGCGCATGCACTCACCAGAAAGACAGACAGACAGAGAGACAGAAAGTGAGAAATCACCCCCCCAGGGGGATGGCCATGCCACAGTTCCTTCTCCTTGGGATCTTGGGCACACATGCATACGCACCTGGCATGAGTTTAAGCCACCTGGTCTGGGACTCAAGCCGCGGTCGACTACATGGGAGTCCAGCGACATAGCCATTATGCATTTGCTGGTCCCAACTTGTGCCAGCAAAAATCGATTCACAGAGTAAACAAACTGGAAAGAAACAGACTGATGGAAAGGCCCTCTCCCTCCGTATAAGTTCCTCACAAACATAAGAAAGCACTTCTAACGAGAGGGTCTGGAACGGAAAACCCAACCGTCTGAAAGGCAAATAGGAAGACCACGCAGTTCACACCAAAACAGAAATGCTGAGAAGTTAGCAGTGTATGCGTACAGTGTGCGTATTGTGGCAATATTCATACGTTAAAAGCGTTCAGCTTACTCAGCCTCGGTAAATGTGAAATGCTGAGAAGTTAGCAGTGTATGCGTACAGTGTGCGTATTGTGGCAATATTCATACGTTAAAAGCGTTCAGCTTACTCAGCCTCGGTAAATGTGAAATGCTGAGAAGTTAGCAGTGTATGCGTACAGTGTGCGTACTGTGGCAGTATTCATACGTTAAGAGCGTTCAGCTTACTCAGCCTCGGTAAATGTGAAATGCTGAGAAGTTAGCAGTGTATGCGTACAGTGCGCGTACTGTGGCAGTAAAGTTAACAGTGTATGCGTACAGTGTGCGTACTGTGGCAGTATTCATACGTTAAGAGCGTTCAGCTTACTCAGCCTCGGTAAATGTGAAAGTATGTGACAAGGGTGTCTCACAGAACTGCCTGCCACGGTGGGGAGCTGGCCAGTGTGCCACCCGGCAGAGGGGGTGCGGAAACAGGCTGTTCACGCACCACTGATCAGTCTTCTAGCGCGTAGGCATTTGGACAAGAGATGTCAAAATTGAACACACGTGGGGCCAGCAGGTGGTGTGGTGGTTGGGATGCTAGACTCCCACGTGGCCAACCACGGTTCAAGTCCTCAACCTGGTGAGCATATGTGCCCCACAGCCAATCTGAAAATAATAGGGTTCAGCATGTGGTGTAGTAGTTAAAGCGTTGCACTCCCACATGGCTGACCGTGGTTGGAGTCCTGGACCCGGAGGTCTGAAACATCCTGGGCACATGTGCCCAAAATTCCAGGAGGAGGAGGGTCTGTGGTGTGGCCACCCACTCTGGGGGTGATTTCTCTCTCTGTCTCTGGTGAGCAGCACATACCCTATAGCAAAAATCTCTCACCAAAAAAACATTCTTTGAAAAAACCTAAATGACATCAGCACGGGTCTGGCTGCATAAATCTGCTACATCCACCGGCGGGGAGCCGGAGGAGCTGCCAGCGTGTGCACTGTGCTGGCCACCCTGACTCCTGCACTGCTGTGCTACAGGAACGTATCTGCATGGCTGTGGACGACTTCCGGGAAGATGGAAAAATGGCCTTTGAGAGTGGAAGTTCTTAGGGAAGGGAAATTCTTGTCTATGCGGATGTCTAGAAGGAAAAGTGGCAGGGCGCAGGATGGCGGGCGTCGACGCCTGTCGTAGCGCCGTAGCGCCAGCTGGGGAACCAGTGCTGGGGTCCGGTGAGGTGACTCACCGCCACGGCTCTGGGACCTACAGATCTGACCACAGGGAGGGTGTGCACATGCATGCAGGTGTCACGTGGCGGTGTGAGGCCCAGTATTGCCTGGCCGAGGGAGCGACACCAAGTCACTCAGGTTACCAAGGGCTCAGTCTGCAGTGGGCTGCCTCAGCAAGCTCTCCGACTTCTGTGCTCCGGGTCAGGGGGGTAGGGAGGAGCACATCCCCAGCTGCGAGCAGTACGGGAGCTTAGTAGAGCGTGGAGCACAGCCAGGGGCCACGCGGTCTCCGAGAACCGGCTCTGCGGTGTGCGCTGAGCGGTGTGCCCCCCATGTGGGCAGACACTTTTCTTAGGCCAGCATCTCGCCGTCCTGCCAGAACCCACCGCCGGGGGCAAGACGGAAGTGAGAGTGAGCGGGCAGGAATGGAGGGCCATGGCTTCCTAGAGCTGTCTCCGCGCCTCCTGAGCTGCGCTGGTGCTGCTGCGCATGTCTCATGGCGGCCGACCTTGTGACGGCTCAGCTGGTCGTTGTCCTCTGCTGCTGGGACGTAGAGACACAGACTGTCAGAAAACTGACCCGTCTGATCTCTTACAGAAGGTCCTACAGTGCAGGGGAAGCAGTGGAGGAGCTCATGGGAGCTGACGGGCAGCAGTGGGCCAGTATGGACCCAGAAGAACGAATGTTGGCAGCTACGACAGCTCTGACCCGTATCTGTGCAGGGCAGGGTGAGGGCGACGCCAGGAGAGAAGGCCTGTCCCTGCAGTATGACCCCTACAGCAAAGCCTCTGTCACCCCTGGGAAGCGCCCCGCTGGCCCCGGGCCTCTGCAGTACCCGCAGGTGGAAAGCCATGCCACTTTGGAGACAGCCCTGGGGGCTTCCCAAAGACTCCGGAAGCCTGTGATGAAGAGGAAGGTACTGCGGAGGAGGCCGGACGGGGAAGTGCTGGTGACCGACGAGTCCCTTATCAGTGAGTCCGACTCGGGTACGGAGAGTGACCTGGATCTCTGGGACTTAAGACAAAGGCTGATGGGGCTGCAGTTCCAGGACAGGGAGTCCCCCCTCCATGCGGCACAGAGGGTCAATCTGCCCTACAACTGCCCAGGCCTTTCTCAGGACCAGCTTCTCTGCTACCTCGGAAGAGAGGCGACGGGCCCTCCCGCTTACGAGCAAGATCTGATCGTTGCCAGCAAGCCCAAGTCCTTCATCCTCCCAAGACTGGCCCAGGTCAGCAGGATCCTGGGCAAGGTCGACCGTGTGGCCCGCTACTTTGAGTATAAGCGGGACTGGGATGCCATGCGGTTTCCTGGTGAAGATCACAGGAAGGAGCTGCGCTGGGGCATCCGGGAGCAGATGCTCTGTCGAGCAGAGCCCCCGCCCAGGCCGCAGCATGTGTACGTCCCAAACACGTACCTGGTGCCCACCGAGAAGAAGCGCTCTGCCCTCCGCTGGGGCGTCCGCTGTGACCTGGCCAACGGTGCCATGCCCAGGAAGCCTCCCTTCCCACTTTCTCCGTCTTAGGTCTTTCTTACCTCCTGTCCTCTCACCTCCTGGCTGTCCCTTGGAATAACCTGGTTCTTTATCTCTCCTTTGAAGTAAAAACGGATGGAAAGGCAGTGGGGGCCTCAGGGAGTAAGGACCCCCACCGCCGGTCTGTTCACGCAGCCTGGGTGGCATCACACCCCACTACTTCCAGGTCACCATTCCCGACCCAGCAAGTGTGGGGAGATCACGCCAGAGGAGACCAGGCCTTCCCTGCTGCGTGAGTTAGCAAGGGTCGCTCCTGCTCTGCCTGTGTGCACAGCTGTGTCTATGTGTGTTTAGAGTCATTAAAGTCTTAGAAATATGTAAGTTTGAGCCTCATTTTTACTAAATCCTTCCCGAAGATGACCCTGGACCCCACTCTGATCCTGCTGGCCCCCCCACAGCTGCTTAGCACCGCCATTAGCATGCGCGCAGCAGCACCGATGCTCTGCCCTGCAGGCGTGTGCTGGGCCCAGGCCCGCGATGCTCCGGGGCACCCCGCACTGACGGGCTGGCTCCCATGGGGGTGCCTTCTCACTTTCTCCTTCCCCTGTGAGCGCACACACCGTCTAGCAAACGGATAATTTAAAACATCATAAATCGTTTATTTCTGGGATTCTCCATTTAACATTTTTGGACTAAGGGTGTGTGGCACCATAGAAGGCTGGGCCACCACCAGAGGGAAGCGGGCGTAACTGTCCCAGTGAGACACGCAGCCAACAGCACTCGTGGCCGGAGACGGACAGCACGAACAGTCTGCGTGGAGAGCTGACCAACAACCGAGCCCTGACTGCAGCTGTCTGCGGAACCGTGGCCCCACAGCACTACGGCTCCACGGTGAGGCACTGACCGGGAAGGTCAGCAGTGGTGGCGCCAGCTGGCGATACGGTGCTTATGGCGCTGGGCTCCCGCGTGGCCAACTGCAGTTCCGGTCCTGGACCTGGTGACTTGAAAGTCACACCAGACGTGTGTGTGAATGCCCCAAATCCAGGAAGAGAATGGAGAAGGGACTGCAGTGTGGCCATCCCCCTGGGGTGATTTCTTACTTCCCCTCTGACTGCTTCTCTCTCTCCGGGAGTACATATGTCCTACAGCCAAAAAAAAAAAAAAAAAAAAACCCATCAGTGGCTCAAAGAGCCACGTGGGACATATCCGCTGCTAATAAGCAAAACCACGCTCAGGAGAGCGGAGCACTGACCCGCAGCCAAGACATGGTACAGCCTAGGCAGCCCTTAACAGCAAATGCACACACAGGCACCTGTCCCGCAGCTGGGAGAATGGATGCCTTCCACTCGAGGGGAACCGAGGGCCTGGAGGACGGGTGGAGAGGTTGGGAGGTAAGCCAGAAAGAGGAGCTGCTCCGTGCCAGCTGGTGCGGGCAGGGCTGGGTGGGCAAGCAGAGCTGACTCACCGCGCACGGTTTCCCAGTAGCAGAAGGTGTGGGTTTGGATGCTCCCAAGGCAAGGCGGTGGCACAGGGTGGAGATGCCTCCACGGGCTGCCCAGGCAGAGGGCAGTCAGTCCTGTGCCCCAAGTCTGGGAGCGCGGAGTTAGGAGTTGGAGAAAGTGGGGGGGAAGGAAGGGTGAGAGGGCGGCTGCGGGGTGGTGGGGCCCAGCCGGAACCGGGTGGAGGCTGGACGGCCTCCCTGGGCTCCACCTGAGACTTGGGACCTTCGGAGCCCACAGGGCAGGGACCTGAGCTACTTCAGGACACCCTGGTCAGGAGTGAAGTGACCAGGCTGGCAGGTTTGCAGGGAGTTCTAAACACGGTGAACCTGGCACGATGCTAGACAAGGACAGACACCGACCCGGGGTCCCATTTACATAGAGGCCAAAGCCAGGAGATCTAGTTTGAGGTCAGGCCAGCCTCTGCGCCTGCTAGGAGGACGTGCCTGAGAGGGGACACGAGGGAGCCCCAGGGCACCCGTGATGTTTCCTGATAGGACTGACCTCTTGGCCGTGCTGGCAAACCCCACGGGGCTGGGCGCCGGGCGTGTGTGCGTGCTGGCCTGCACTTACAAGTGAGCGCTATGAAGAGCAGGAGTCGGAAGGTCGCAAGTGACGCCGGAATATTAGTTGTTGGGGATCACGGGAACTAACGGGACACTAAAAACGAGCGAATGCGGGTAAACGGGATAGCGCGACCTTCAGACCCTGCCACGGGGCAGGCGTCTGACCGCCGGCGCGCGGTACTCGTCACGAGCGCGGCGGCCACGTGCACCTGCACCTCGGCACATCAGCGTCCAGAGCGGGCCGAGCTCAGGCCCCCGCACCGAGGAACCCGGCCGCACGCAGACCCGCGCCCCGGCCTGGGAGGGCCGACTCACCGCAGCGCACGTGGCGGCCGACGGCGCGGGGCGAGTTGTAGTTCGGGGCGCGGGGCCGGGCGGCCCAGCCTCGCCTTACCGGATGGGGGCTCGGCCCGTGGTGGTCGCGAACCGGGGCCGAGAGGCTCTGGGGCCGGCTGCCCTTACGCGGCGCCGCAGGAGGAAGGCCTGGCCTGGCCGACCGCCTGGGGCTGGCGAGAGGTGCCGTGGAGAGGCGCGGCCGTGTGCGATTCGCCCCGCACGAAGGTGAACCGGGCGGGCACAGCCCGAGGCCGGCAGCGGCACTGTCGCTTCAGCACCCTGGAGAGCTCGCGGAGCCCGAGGTCCGGTCGGGAAGGGCGGGAAGAGCGCGCCCCGTGCAGCCAGCCGGCAGTGCTGGTCCCCCGGGCCGCGGGCGAGCCGAGCCCCGAGGAGCAGGGGGCAGGGCGCGGACCGGCCGCCTGCCCCGCACGAGTGTTCGCCCCGCGTTTTCCACTTCCCCACGTGAATGCGGGACCTCCCCTGCAGGGACAGCTATGGGTCGCAGTGGCCGGGCCGGGGGAGCACG